CATCAAGAGTAGATTGTCCTCCCATCTAACATTATACTACCACTACACTAAATCTACACTACTAGCATGAAAATAGAGCTATTTAGACTAGGGGAGAGGCACAAGCCATCAAGAATAGGCATAAACCATCAAATGAACCAAAATAGCATTCATTAAGCATATCATCTTGATAATCTCTAGATCTATAGCATCAATACACATAGACATGCATAAAAAACACTAAATCTAGAGATAAGCACATGAATATCCTACTCTAGCATACATAGACATATGGGTAGAATAGAATAGTCAATTGGAAGCATTAAACCATACAAACCATGAAATAATCAAGATTTATATATACATGAATATCAAGATGTATTATACAACACTAATCTCTCAATAATACACAAGATTAGAGTATGGAAAGCATGCTTGGGGCTAACTCTAGCCCCAAGAGGATGTCTAGACACTCATGGTAGTGATGATCCAACCCTCAAGGGCTGACTCCATGGCTGCTCCTTGTTGGTGAAGACCTCCTCCAATGGTGCTCTAGCTTCCCTTCTTCCTCTTCTCCAAGGAGAGCCTCCAAGATGATTTTCAATGTGTGACAAGAGACTCTAGGCTCTTCACCAAAAAGTGTATCATATTCCTTATATAGGTAGGTCAAATACACCCTATGATGAGCTGTGGTCATGCAAGGCATATTCTCCAATGATTGGGTGAAGGACGGAATAAATGAGCTGGACTTTAACTTTTTCTCGCTGGAGGAAGTTCGATCGATCGAACCTTAACTTGGATCGATCGAAGATGGGTTCGATCGATCGAACTGCATCTTGGATCGATCGAAGTGGTCTGACTCCTCCGGATAAGAACAAGGCTGAGATATTTCGAAGATATTTATGGGGAAAAGAACAAAAGTGGTTGGTAGGCGTACAGTTGTGGATAAGATTAATCATTTGAATAGGACAAAATAGGGTTCGATCGATCGAAGGTGATGTTGGATCGATCGAACTTGGAATTTCAGCAAAGGCCAAGGTTGGATCTATCGAGAAGTACTGTGATCGATCATAGATGTTCGATCGATCGAACTCTAAGTTGGATCGATCGAACTTTTCAGCTGCACAACTTTGATTCCTTTTTGCTCCTTGCTTTCTCCACTTTGCTCCCTCCCTTGGTTTATCTCAGGATTGCTTCAATTAAGCTCTTATTTGGCTGAGTTAGCTCAATTTTGGGATTAGTGCCTGAAAATATAAATAACACGTAATAAGTCTAAAACGGCAAAGTAAGATAGATAAAGGTACTAGAATGCTTAAGCTTAACGGGTTTAAATGCGCACTTTTCAGTGCTCATCAATAATGATATGTTCTCTTTGATATATATATATATTTTGAAAGGTAAAAAAGAAAAAGAAAAAGAAAATAACATTTCTTTCTTTCCCTGATCAAGAAGGCCCATGGTCTAGGTTGGTGACCTTCATTGCACTTAAGAGGAGTGCCTGCCTAAAGTCTACCCAAGTGATGGAGCCGATGTCATAATTTGTGGGAGTGGGGCCTGCGATTGCACGGCCCTTGTTCAATGTATAGTTTAAAGTTTTTCTTAAGGATTTTAAGATTTCAATCTTAGATCAGAGTTATTTAATTTTAAGGACTTTTAGTGCTGTTTCTTTTGAATTGATTATTTATGTTTTTGTTTTGTTTTTGTTTTTGTTTTTGTTTTTTTTTCCTGAATGGGTTGAAAATTTTATTGAAACAAATTTTACAATGATGATACAAAAATAGAACAGTGATCATCAAAGAGGATCACTAAAGAGAAATAGAAACGCCAATGTTGAGGGTATACCCTAGAACCAAAAATCAAACAAAAGCAAAAAAAAATACAAGCTAACAAAAAATAAGGTCAAAATCAGAAACAGTTAGAGCAGCAGCAAATAGACCCTCATGGCTAGCTTGTGTGGACTGTGAGCATCTCCACCATGGAATCTTTGGTTTCTTTCATTCCATAAGCTCCAAAGGATTGAAGTGAATGGGTATTTCAAAAGAGTGGTTTTCAAGGACTGGCCTTTGGTATGTTCGATAAACCAATTCAGACCAACAGGTAAGTGGTCTAGCGGTACCAGACCCTTACTTCTCAAAGAGAGGTAAGGGGTTTGAGCCTTAGTGGAGGCATATGTATGTGAGTACCAATTAAGAAACAAAAAAAAAAAACAATTCAGCACTTCAGAAAAAGAAGTTACAAAGTAATCTCTTCCCAGTGACAAGTATGCACAAATCATTTCCACACCCCTTTGGCATATGAACAGCACCAGAAGAGGTGATCTCTAGAGTCTGAATCAGAAAAATAATTGTGACATATGGTTGGTCCAATGTAACCCCTCTTTCTGAGATTAAAGAGGGAAGGAAATGCATTTTGCAGAATAAGTGCAGATTGTAGGGAAATCCTTGGTCTGCATTTGTTCCACAAAAGTTCATTAGTTGTCTTGAAGGAGTTCTTACCATTCTTCAATAAAAAACAATCCTCTGATTCAGAATTAGGCAGTTGATGAAGGAACTGATTAATCTCAGCAGGTGATCGGTTGGTCAATTAACATCAACCTTCGCAATAGCACGAATCATTGTAAAATAGGGCTATTGGTCTGGTAAGTCGAACCACTGGGACTGCGCTAGTCTAATACAACCTAAATGTCTAGAATCATTATAGAATGATGAGGGAGGTTTATAAAAGGTTTGTGTGTTTGTCACTAAATTAAGAAATTGAAATGCATAAAACAATAAATTGCAATTAAATTAAAGGAAGTGAGATACAAGTAGAAAATACTAGGAAGATGAATCCACACTACACCTTAAGTACATGCTAGACTAAGGCTAAATTGGGGAGGTACAATGTATAAAATGGTCATGGAATATATAGCAACACTATGTTACCATACACTCTAGGAAAAGTTCATTAAATCATTAAACAAGAATAATCCCTCAAAAATTCATACATTTGAGCTACCTAAACTAAAGTGTAGCCCTCAACATATTCACTCAAGCAAGAACTATCAAGTTTATAACCAAATGATAAAGCACATGAGGTAGGAAACTAGTATAACCCATCAAAGGAAATTCCTAAGCAATGGACTATCCATTTTTCTAACAACATTCCTTGAAAACAAATCATAGTTTGATTCCCATTGTCACTATGAGAATGCAAGCAATAAGATTAATACAAAGATCATTAAGACAAGCAAAAGAAACTCACATTAATCATTTAAAAGTGTTAGAGTTCATTACATGAGATGATATGCTCTAACTATGAAAATGCCAAAAGTATACATCATAATCCCCAACATAGCCTAATCTAAAACATGAACAACAAGGGGAGGCTTCATCACCTCCCTAGGTGTGGTTTAGTTACCCATGACTACAAGGAATGAAGAAGAAGAAGAAGCCTCCATCTCCATTTTCGAGCTACTACTGTAGCACTCAAGAACACCACCCTCTTTGCTCTCTTCTCTCTCCTTTCTCCTTCTAAAAATGAAGGACAGGATATATATGGCCTTTGGTTGCCTTCTCTCCTCCAACAAAGCCCTCCCTCTCCTCCAAAAACATTCCCAACCACTTCATAAAAGAGGGAGATTCAAATTGAGGAAACCAATGAAGCAAGTGGCTGAAAATGAGGAGTCCCGAGCTGCATTCTGCCTGAATTTCGAGTGCTCGAAATAGGGCCTCGAGCACTCGAAAATGGAGCAGATTGCTACATGCTTGCTTTGCTTCGCTCGGACCTACTTTGGTAAAACGGCTATAACTTTGTGCTCCGAACTCCGAATGACAAACCGTTTGAAGATTTGGAAATCTGATTTAGAGATATAAAAACTTTATGTTTTGGTGGAGATCCAATTCTCAAGTCTGGTTGGTCGAAATTGAAGATCAAGGCAGAAACTCATTGCTGCCAGGCAGTTCTGAGCACCTCTAATAAGAAGATCATAACTCTCTGCTCTGAACTCCGAATGACGAACCGCTTGAAGATTTGGAAAGCTGATTCAGAGCTCTAAATCTTTCATGTTATGATAGAAGTCCAGTTCTTGAGTTTGCTAGGTCAAAAATGGCGACAAAAGTCAGGTTCCACTGCTGCCAAGCTTCAGCATTGAGCACTTTGCATTCAAAATTTCAACAAAAACATCATTCTTGCTTCTTTTAAGCCAATGAACCTGAAAATAAACAAAAATGCACAAATGAAGATAATCTGCATAATAAAATCAAATAATGGACTTAACTAATGCAATTTAGGGCGCTTGAATATGCAATATTCGGCGCTTATCAGCAGGCCAGCCATTAAAAGATTTTAGAACAGATAAGGAAGCAGAATGAGGAAAACCTGCAGGAAGAAGTCTTCTCAAACCAAAAGAATGCTGCAAAGATTTTCCTTTAAACCATGGATCATAAAAAAAGGCTAAAACCAGTTCCATTACCAATGGAAAAATTGATATGTTGTAGGAGGAACTCTCTGGAATTACGTGTAGTTTTCCAGATGGCTGAGTCAAGAAACTTGGCATTAAGGGTCCAGAAATGAGCTTTTTTAACATATTTATCCCTAAACCATTTAACCCAAAGTTCTTCCTTAGAAGTAAGAAAGGACCAGGTCATAGTATAGGAACGAGCCAAATTAATACTCTTAAAAGACTTCTCAATCCCATCCCACCTTCGGACTTTGGAAGAGTGCATTTGTCCCATGCCAAAAGAGGTATTTTTTTCTTATCATGTCTACCCCCCAAAACAAAATTCTTAGCACTTCTCTCAATTTCAGCTTGAAGCAGAAGAAGAAGAATAAGAAGATAATGGTATTGGACAAGATTCATTATAGCAGATAATGGTATTGGACAAGACATTATAGAGCTCTCAACACAATTTTATGGCAGCATATAACTTTTTTCTATAAAAATAAAGTCAGGGATAAGCCAAAAAAATTTCTTCAAATTTTCATAAAATGTATTATGCCAAAATTCTGTTGATTCTATACAAAGCAAAAGTTTGTTTGAATCAGTACACAAGTAATTGCTGATTTGTGTGTCCCCGGTGGAAAGAAGACAACGATGAGCAGCGAATCATGGCAACAGACATGAGCAAAGCCTTCTCTAGATCCTTAGTCAGTCCTCTCCGGATCAATGAGATAATATACTCCATGAACAATAAATCGCATGGTCCTCTGGTAGGCCCATCACATTGCAGTCCAAATTCCCCTTCAGACATCTTTAGGAGCTCTCTGAAGATCTCCTTGCTAAGGTACGCCAAGGGAACTTCATAATGCTTTTGATCAGTTGTGGAGACAATAAAATGTCCCTTATCAGCTACCATTGATGTACTACAACTATCTGTATTCACATCTCTATTGATTCTTGGAAATGAATCCTCCTAACGGCAGCTAACTTCGTCCATTTCCTTGCCATCTTGATGAGTTTCCTGGGATTGATCATTTTCTCCTAATGGAGAAATTTCAAAAGAGAAGAAGGTGAATTAAAGAAAAGGATGTATAGAGCTTAAAAAACTGAGGTGCTATTGCTGTGGTGATTGGAATTCAAATGGAAGGGTGTTATTTATATAGCAATAAGCATCTCCACTGGTCGTGAACTGAGCCATTGGTCAGACTGAGATTGTGACTTAAAAGCTCCCCCTAGCCAGCTTGTTCTTTGTCCAAGAAGAAGGTTAATTTTCTTGTTGCAGCTAGACAACTTGTCTCTTTAGTGCAGCACTCACAAGTAGCCTCATTTGCTCTGAGTTCAAAAAAGAAAATCTAAATTTGAACAACGAATAAAGGACATAGAAGTATTGGGGGCAACAAGATTAATTGGAATGTCATTACAATGAAAAGAATTTTATTGACAAAATAATATATTTACAATACAATCAATCAATCACATATAATAGGAATACAAATACAAAGTAATATGTTAACAATCATTCTTCTTCAAAAAAACAGTTTATAAGTTGGCGGCATCTCAAATCAGTACACAAGTAATTGCTGATTTGTCTGTCTTTGGTGAGAAGAAGACAATGACGAGTAGCGAATCATGGCAACTGACATGAGCAAAGCTTTCTCTAGATCCGTAGCCAATCCTCTCTGAATCAATGAGATGATATACTCCATGAACAATGCATCACATGGTGCCCATTACATTGCAGCACACATGGGTATCTCTTCTGTGCAATTCATCAAACACGTAGAGGGTGGACACAAGTAGTGAAATCTCAGTTTTTCCAAGCCCTTAACATCAACCTCCTCCATTGGTCGTCGTGTGTAGTCCATTGACTGGTACGATAGCAATGTCTCCACTAGAACACGAACGACAATCAACGGTACGGCACCACAGGTGGTACAAACTTGACATGCCGGCATAGTTCCACAGGCACGACACCCATCCGTGCCTAACGTCCGGCGAGCGAAAGACATGATGTCGTCGATCATATGGTTGTTGCTGTCGTCTATGGAGATGTCCATGAGAGAGACCAAACGAGATATGTATTTACGCAAGTGCATTTGCACATGATCCTCCGATGACATTAGGTGCAACGTCGACGCCGTGAAATATTTTTTGGTCTCGATCTGATACCCTCCGCCGCCGATGAAATCAGCTTTGAATATACGTTCATCCTCAAAATTTGATGAGAAGCAAATTAGGGCGCGATTTCTTGCCAAGTTTTGCAGCGTCTCGATCCACCTGCCATGCGTAACGGGTTTGGATTGACATGTTAATTCAACGATCAGTGAGTTCAATTTGCAGTAATTGGGAGCAATTGGGTGATATTAAGGTTTCAATTTGCAGCGATTGGGGTGATATATAGAAAGAGGGGTATTAGGGTTTCAATTTGCAGCAATAGGGGTGATATATAGAAAGAGATATTAGGGTTTCAAGTTGTAGCGATTAGGGGTGATATATAGAAAGAGCTATTAGGGTTTCAAGTTGCAGCTATTGGGGATGCAGAGAGAGACCTGCGTTCACTTGAAAACAAGATTCAGAGATGTAGATTCTGTAATTGCCACCCACACGGACGGGAAAAACAAGGGTTATATATTAGGGATGTAGACTCCGTAAACGCCACACACGGACGGAAAAACAAGGGTTATATTAGGAAGGGTATTAGAATGCGTTTATTTATTTATTGTTATTTTTTTTTAATTAACCGGTGTATTCTGAATGGCACAAATCCTTAGGGCCCTCAACAAATCGACTAATATCAAGGATCCGAAAGAGCACCTCCCTACCCGAGGCGAATATGTCATTACAGGGGTAGTGAAAGTTAGCCATAAAGAACACCAGCGGGACTCAAATCTCAGACCTTGAGCTTACTAAGTTCTAAAGTCTAAAGAGTAAACCGCTGAATCATATTCGAAGTGAATTTTTAAAATGAGTTTTATATGCAAGAATGGGGTGGTTTTCGAATTTGGAAGATAAAAGTGCACATATATATATATATATATATATATATATATATATATTACTTCATTTTCAAATTGACATATATAATATTCATTATGTGTATTTAGGACAGAAAAATAAGAAAATTATGTGGTTTAATCATGACTAAATTTTCTTATTTAATTAGTTGCAGTATTCTTAGTTTCAACGTATTAATTATTTTATGGAAACCCAACACTTCTTCTGCATAGATACAACCACAGCTTCACAAAATTTTGAATCATACTGTAATAAGTAAGTAAATAAATAAATTTCGGTATTATTCAATTTATATATACGGATATGTGCCTGATCGCGCAAGAGAAATAAAAATCACATGTATGTATTTCAAGACCCCAGATATGTTGAAAACTGAATCCGGATTTGCAATTATATATGCCACGAAAACTTATGTGTTTAAAATTTTAAAAGTTTTAGAAAATAAAATTTCTCTAGCACTCAAAAATGAATTACTAAAAGAATAAAAGATACCAAACTTTTGGTTGGATAACTGGGTTTGTTTCAGATTCATATACACGTGCACCGATATTCAAGTGTCAAAGTTATTTTTTTAAAAAATTCACTGGTCAACTTAAATCAGCTTAAGTACCCTGAACTGGTTCAAGGTCTTCAGATCTTTATGGTAACTCTGTCCTTTTGGTTTGTTTTGATTCCTATTTTGGGTAGACTTTCTTTTTTAAAAATATTTTCAGAAAATCAAATCTGATTTTTTTCTTTTTATTTTGAGAGCACACATTTTGAAGTGTTGTTTTTTATCTCATTGAAATTGAAATATAATTGAAGAGTTAAAAATTCCAAGAAACAATATTTATATATTCTACAACAAATTCAGGATGTTCTTTTGCAAAGAATATCCCCTAATGCATTATAAAATTAGGGGAATCCATTCGCTATTCACGTAATCCAATCAATTATGTTTAAATATTTCCATTATGCAACTATCAAATTTTGCAATGAAGTAACATTTTGGTCCAACTCATCTAAGTTTTCAATATTTAACAGGTAATTTGATCCAAACCTAGTGTTTGCTCAGAGTCATTCTACTAGATTGAACAAAATTTTCCCAAAATCAATTAATTAGAGCGAAGTATGCATAGCCAAAAAAAAAAAAAAAATTCGATATAAGTAGTACCATGGGTTAAAGTTGAGAAATTCTATGCTTCAGAACATTTATTTATTTTCTGTTGATAAGTTATGCCCCAGAACATTTTTTGTCCACTTACAGTTTTTATGAGCTTCTTAGCACCGATCATGGTCTTTGACATGGGATAATAGAATATGAAATCTGAGATGCCAGAAGAAAAGATTTGGATCCCTAAAAATAACAATATGAAAGTTTTTATTCTTCATTAAAAAAAAAAATAATAAAAAAAACAAAAACAGAAAAAAAACCACCCCTATATAGAGTTCTTTATCACCTTGTAACACTATCAATTTGTAATGTGCAAATAAGCCACTTGAAGCTTTATTAGATAACATTTGGCAATTCTTATTCGTGGGTCATAATCGTGTCATGTCGATGTAAGAGTATTATATTAAATTGGTAAATTCAAACCCAACGCATTTAATAATCGTATCAATAATCCTCAACATTAACCCAACCCGTTTATTAAATTGGTAAATGTGTTAACCCGTTTAATGACCCGTTTATCAAAACGAGACCTTTAATATGTAATAAATAAATAAATAAATAAAAATTGTCACAATTAACCCAAATATTCAAAATAAGAAGAAAAATCATAAGGTATAACAAGGTTTATATCAGAATATCAGCTCGACCACATCACTTGTTAGTTGTACGTAAATTTCTTTCATTCAAAGTTGTTGTTACTTGCTTCCTCAAATCAAGTAGTTGACCATGAATATCTTAACTAGTTATTAACCATGAATATCTCAACTTGTTATTTGTTTCCTTAGATAAAGGACCTAATTGAGAGATACTCTCTTGTAAAGTCTATATATACCTTCTTGTAACACATTGAATTAATATAAGATTTCTCTCAATACTTCTCTGTTAGTGTTGTTTATTATGGTATCAGAGCACCTCTGCTCACAACTCTGAATTTTCTATCAATCTGTCTTTTCTTAATTCTTCAATTCCTTCACAATGGTTGATCCAACAGATATTTAAAATTCTGAACTTCAAGGGTCAAATGATCATTTCTTTGTCCATCACTCAGATAGCCCCACGGCTATCCTTGTTTCTCCAATGTTGTCCAGTGACAACTATAGTACGTGGTTACGATCTATTTCGAGGGCCCTTCGAGCCAAAAATAAAATAGGTTTTGTAGATGGCTCAATCAAAATCCCTACTAATCCAAATGAAAAATCCAAGTGGTCTAGATGTGACGAACTTGTTGCCTTATGGATTCTCAATTCAGTTACGTCAGAGATGTAATGACCTGGTCATTTGCCTCCCTTTCCTTTTTCTCAAATTTTACGGATAAATTTTTTTCGTTTAATTTTCCTTTCTGAGTTCTGTTTCTCGTCACTAGGTGTCATCTCGAGTGCTTGGAAATGATTTTTGAGACTCTTTCATTTGGATTGAAGACTTCCTTTAAGGACCGAGTCATTTCCACATTTTCATTTTTTTGACACTATTAACTTTTTGTCCTTTTCCCTATTTTGTCTTTTCATCGTTTGTCACTTTTTGGCACAACCTCACTTTTCGTGCTCGGAGTTAGTTTTTGACTTCACGCATCTTCATTCTAAGTGATTTCCATGAAATACGTATCTTTACTTTTGTAGAAAAGTACTTTGGTTGCTCTCGGTGTTCATAGGGGCATAGATGCATAGTTCTCAGAATCTTTTTCTTTTCTTGGGGTATTTTTCATAAATATCTTTTGAAGATATTTTATTTCAGGGGTTTTTAAGAAAATA